TGGTGTTGGGTTTTTTGTGTTTTTTTTTTTTGTCTGTTGGTTGTTTGGTTTTTTGTTTTTGTAAGGGTCCCACACTTTCCCTGACCTTATAGTAATATATGGAGATATACACCTATCTTCTAGATCTGGGAGGGACCCTGAAAGGTCATGGAGTCTAACCCCCTGCCTTCTCTAGCAGGACCAAGTACTGATTTTGCCCCAGAGCCCCCCTCAAGGATTGAACTCACAATCCTGGGTTTAGCAGGCTAATGCTCAAACCATTGAGCTATCTCTCCCCCCTTTATTGCTAACATACTTGTAGAAGCCCTTCTTTTTTCAATTCACTTCACTTGCTAGCTGCAACTCCAATTATGTTTTGGCCTTCCTGATTACACCCCTGCATGCTCTTGCAATATTTTTATACTCCTCCCTAGTCATCTGTCCAAATTTCCACTTCTTGTAAACTTCCTTTTTGTGTTTAAGCTCTTTGAAGATTTCTCTGTTAAGCCAAGCTGGTTGCCTGCCATATCTGCTATTCTTTCTGCACATCGGGATAGTTTGTTCCTGCACCCTCAATAAGGCTTCTTTAAAATATAGCCAGCTCTCCTGGACTCCTTTCCCCCTTATATTAGCCTCCCAGCGGATCCTGCCTATCAGTTCCCTCAGGGAGTCTGCTTTTGGCATAGGTCTGACCCAATATGGCTGTTCCTAGGTCCTCATGTTATCTACAGAGCCCTGAGGATTAATCACTCCACTCCCCCACCAAAAAGAAACAGTTTTATAGAAGCCTGAGGTGTGATAGCACTTGATTATGAATTTATGTACAGCAGAGGAGAAGATCCTATAGGATAGGTCTACACAGCAAAGAAAACCTTGCAGCTGGCCCATGCCAGCCAACTCGGGCTCACGGGGCTCAGCTGTGGGACTGTTTCATTACTGTGTAGATTTCGGGGCTCAGGCTAGGGCCCGGGCTCTAGGACACTATGGGGTGGGAAGGTCCCAGAGCTCAGGCTCCTGCTGGAGTCTACACAGCAATGAAACAGCCCCTCAGCCAGAGCCCCATGCGCCCGAGTTGGCTGGCATGGGCCAGCTGAGGTTTTTCTTTGCCGTGTACACATACCCATAAAACATTGCATGTCTGTACTGATTTACTTGTATGATTTTTCAGTTTCCCAGATAGGTTTCTCAAATTGCCCAGACAATGAGGCTCTTGTTATCTTAATTATCATAGATTTGGGTGGAACTAGCACATATTTAAGTGATAAAGAATCAAGGAATAGTGATCTCCACAATGCATTTCACCAATCCTTCATGAATCTGCAAAATTGGAACATCCCTGGTATTTGGAGTTAGTATTCAAGGAAGGACATCCTGTAAATGATACAAATGGGAAATAATGTGCCTAGACATCCAAAACCAAATGATGAACGTGTAATTGAAACACAAAGTTGGTTTGTTTTGGAAATTATTTACATTTCCTCTGGATTCCCCTGTCTTTCTCTGTGTGTTTTCCACTCAGCAGTGACTTGAAGCCCTTTCGAACAAGATTAGCAGACTACTTAGTACTTGCAAAAATCCGCAGTGCTCTGGGATTTTCCCACTGTCAGAAGCATTTCTCTGGTGCTGCTCCTCTCACTACAGAAACTCTGGATTTCTTCTTGAGTCTGAACATCCCCTTGTACCAGGCGTATGGGATGAGCGAGACCACAGGCCCGCACTGCATGTCTGGGCCATATGTTTACAGACGTCGCAGGTAATTTTACAGAACCTTTTACATGCAGAAATGAAACAATCCTGCCAACATGAGAATGCCCATGATGCCTCCTGTTCCCACTGTTTTTCTTTCCCACTCCCTCTTTCACCTCCTTGTTTTTATATCAGTTTCTGGGTAATTAAGTCATGGTATAGAATTACACAATATTAAGTGAATTTGCCAAGTCTTTGTCTTCACTTTTAGAGTCAAAATCTGTGTATTTCAGTGTAAATAAATACACAGTAAAAACAACATCCTATGAAACACTCTTTATAAGGCTAGTAAATGTCCTTCTTGCTTAAACCAGGTCTCTTGATTCTTCCTCAGCATTCAGCTTTATTGAGTTCTTTGTAAAAACCAGACTGCTGTGTGCACCCAGACTATGAGATGACCTGTCTGTAATAACTTTGCAAAGAAACTATTGATTTTATCTAGCTTTCATATAAATATTAATATGTAAACCTTGTTTAAAGCAGTAACACCAGGCATTCTGCAGAAGCCCTGCATAAATGCAGATTTGACTCATTCTGTTACACGTATGATTATTATTGCTGTAATTTTAACTGTTGAGACCCAATAACACATCTGTGAAGTTAACATAGTCCCATTATTAAAAGTAGGGTTACCATATTTCAGCAAGCAAAAAAGAGGACGGGAGGAGCCCCGCCCTAGCCCCGCCCCTGCCCCTCCCACTTCCCGCCCCCCAGAACCCCAACCCTCCCCCTGTTCCTTGTCCCCTGACTGCCCCCTCCTGGGACCACTGCTCCTAACAGCCCTCCAGAACCCCACCCCCTACCTAAGACTCCCTGTTCCTTGTCCCCTAACTGCCCCCTCCTAAGACCCCCCCCCAACTGCCCCCCAGGACCCTACCCCCTACCTGTACCCGGACACGTGGCTAAGCTCCCCAGCACAACAAAACCCGGTCCCTGGCCCTGCACAGTGCTGCCGGACCGGGCTGCAGGGGAGAGCTGCCCTTGTATCAGCACAAAGTGCTCTCGCTCCCGTTTTGCTACGCTGCATGGCAGAAACCGCTCCCAGTTGCAAAAGGGGAGGGCTGCACTTTGTGCTGACTGAGTCGGAGACA